AGAGAATCTTTTAGTCACTTGGTGGGAATCCTGAGTCCTTGGATGAAGATGAGGAAGAGTATTTACCCATTTGCTAAAGAATAAGGAAACAAATAAACCCTCATCAGAGGCCAACAAATGGGCAAAGAGTTGTTATCAATCCCATGATGGGGCTACCAGGGTGGAAGAGGTTTTGAATGGTGGACTAAAAACACTGAATGGGTGGTAGCATAAGGAGAACCATGGTATCAGCTCAGATCCTGGGACAATTTGCATGCAAGAGGCTTATGATCTCCTAGCTACTTTATTATAAATGAACCTGATCTATGTTATCATTAGATAGCATTTGTGACAAAATTAAAACCATCATCTCTAATATAGCTCTGGTGATGCAACTGCTCATTATCACCAACTTATATCACAAGATCCACCATGAACTATAAATATTTGGCACTGCCCAATACACAGACCAGATAATTGAGATTTGGGATTTAATCTTTCTAAGGCCTAGGATTTTTGGTCTTTGGCATTTGGTTTTACTCCTCATTTGGTTACTCCTTCAGAGGGTCACTAAATTTTTTGTTTGTATGGTTGCTTGCTTTTTACTATATTTTTTGGCTTACCTTTTTTTCCTCTCTTATTTTCTTCCCCAAGATAAGGACTGTTGAACAAAGGCACTGAAGTAGAGGAAAGTCCGAAAGAAGATCTTTACAACTTTACCACCACTGGGTAGAGCATGGTGAGAACAATATTATTATCTTTCAGAATCCCTGGCCAGGGAAGATTGGATAGCTTTTCTAAGACTCATTCCATTTGGGATAGGCCAGCTTTTCCTTAAGAGGTACTGAAGTTATCCTCAAGATCTGATTGGCTAAGGAGACTATGGATTCAGCACTGACACACTGTTTACTTAATAGCAGAGGAGTCAAGATGTTTCAGTACAAAGGTAAAGGGAGTGAGAGAAGGGCTTCTACATCCAGTTAATAGGGACCCTTACTTCTTGGTTCCTATGATAAAGGAGAGCAAAATTGTTAGGCAACAGAACTGTTGGTTTCTCTGGATTGTTCTTTCTTCAAACACAAGGAACTAGGGGCTAAGACAGCAAGGACTTCGGGCCTAGTATCCTCATCTGAAAAACGGGGCTAATTATAGTACCTGTTTTATGGGGTTGTTGTTAGAAACAGACAAGATAATGTATGTAAAACACTTTGCAAATATTACAATCCTGTATTAATATCTGCTGTTATGATAAGTATATACAAAATATTTATCATGCTTCCTAGGTGTGGGTGTTCCACAGTTTTTGTCAAAGGCCTTCTTTTCTTCTCGTTCTTTACTCTTATAAAGGTCAACTTTATGTAGATAACTCACAGATCTATATATACAGCCCTGGCCTTTCCTATTAACTTCAGGCCCACATCACCAGTTGGTCTATTAGATAATATTTAGATATTCCTGGAAGTTCCAGAAACTTCTCAAACACAACGTGTGCAAAACAGAATTTATTACCTCCCTACCCCTCACCCCCACAAAAAAATTCTGCCTTCTTCTAAACTTTCCTATTTCTGTAGAAGGCATTTCTATTCTTTTGGTCTTTTAGGTTTGTAACCTCAGTGTTATCTGTGACTCTTTACTCTCCTTTACCTCACATATATCCAATCCACTGAATCTTGATTCTCTTTCTCTCCACTAATAGCTATCACCTTAGTTCAGGCTTTCTTCAACTCTCACCTGGGTTATTGTAGCATATTCCTAACTAGGCTTTCTACCTCAAGGGTCCCATCATACCAGTCCATCTAATCCATTTCACACTACTGCTAAAGTGGTTTTGCTTAAGCATAGATCTGACTATGTCCCTCTCCTATTTGATCAATTCAGATGTTGCCTCTAGGATCACATATCAACTCCTATATTTATCTTTTAAAACCCTACAAGACCTAGCCTTTCTAGCCTCATAAAATCCTTTTGTTGAATATCCTTTCTATACTATGGCTAAGCAAATCTTTTATTAAATGTTTAAATATTTACAGATGTCTTATTTCATTCCAATATTAGACCTAAACTACCAAGGAGCCAGTCTGGGTCAGGCTTTTCCCACAACAACACTAAAACTGTCCTGTTTTTCTGTTGTTCCCTTATGAATTTCCCTCTGCTCTCTTCTCTGTATTTTTAAGAACTATTTCATCTGCGATTTTTTTCTTTCTTTTTCTTACATTACTATCATTACCCACCAACATCTCCTATTCTCCTCTAAGCTCTCCTTTGTAAAAAATAATGCATTGATATTTTATTAAAAAAAAAATCATGCCACAGTAAATGCAATCTTTTATGTTTGAAAGGCCTCTTTATTTTAAAGATCTTCTTTAAATGTCAGGAAAGGTGATCCATCAGGCAATAATACCTCAGTAGAAACTGGAGACAGAAGTTTGCAATCTAGAAAAGATGCTACAAAGCCTTCACTCAATGAATGGCATCCAATCTTATATAGCTTAAAAATAATCTGGATCAATCAGCAATTCATTTGATCCCAAGTTAAGTCCCCAAAACATCAGTTAGAATTAATGGATAGTGCATTTTTCTGGCTGACAATAAAATATATGATTAAACAGCCAACTTGTAAAGGTTCAGGGCTAAGCTATGTATGGGCTAGTTTGCACTGGGCAAAAAAGACTACCATTTCTTGCTTCTATCTACCAAAATAGTACAAAAATACAATCACAACATGAACTAGAAGGGAAGTGGGGCCACCATGGTCACATGCATTGGTCATTCTTACTAAGAAAGTATGTGGACAATATACAACTTTAGTAACTCTTCCCCCAATCTACATATACTAATTTATCCTAAGGAAACAGGCATATGGGAGGCAATTTCATGTATGCAAGATTATAGTGCCTGCAATTGGATGTTCCATACCAGGAAGTAGAGTGTGAGCTCAGCTGATTTTGTATTACTCCCTATCCTGACCTTTACAATCCAGCCAAACCAGTCTGCTCCTCATACATTACCCTACGTGTCTCATTTCTGTGTCTTTGTAATAGACATCCTCCAGACCTCCTGGGATATACTCCTTTTACACCTTCACCTTACAAAGTTCTACGTTCAAGGTGGAGTTCATGCACCACTTTCTATATGCAGCTCTTCCTGATCTTCTCAACTACTAGTGTCTTTCCTCCAAAAACTACCTTGTATTCAACTTTTGTATTTATCATATTATATGTGTATACACACACACACACACACACGCATAGTTTATTCCATTAGAGTGTAAACTTCTTGAAATTGTTTCATTCTTTGTATATATATGTCCCTAACACCTAACATCATTTCTGCCACATAATAATTGTTTAAAAAATGCTTATTGATCAATTAATTGTGCCTCGCCATAGTCTAGCCAAAACACATGCCTCTTGAGTGGAGAAAGGAATGAGGTATATTTTAGATTTAGTCTAAAATCTGTACAGGAGTGGATAAATAACTTCTGTACTTGGGAGTCAGGAAGATATGAGTTCAAATCCTGCCTTAGATAGTTAATCTAGCCTTAGAGTCTTAATAACTGTATGACCCTATGCAAGTCACTTAACTTTTCTTAGACCTGGTTTCTTCATCTGTAAAATGGGTATAATAATAATGCCTACCTCCTAGGACTGTTATTAGGATCAAATGACACAAAAATGTAAAACATTTTCTGAACCTTAAAGTGTTATATACATGCTAGTTATTGTTACTATTGCCATCATCATTACCATCACCACCACCATTATCAACATCATCATCAGCAAATTCTAATTCTCTTATAATCTCCATTTCTCAGAATGGTGGTAAAAACTGCCTAGCAAACTCCTCTCCTAATCACTACAATTCAAAATGGCTTCTAATATTACCAATCCCCACACTCCCTTCCCCATTCAGCTCAGACCTCATTCTTTCCTTTCAGGGGGATCTCTAGACTCCCTGCTGTATCATTACCAAATGCCCCCTTCATCTCAACTCTCTTCCCTTCATGCTCCAACTTGTCATGGTGCTAACTACCGGGGATACAAAGAAATGTAAAAACAGGGTCCTTACTCTCAAGGAACTCACATTCTAATGGGAGAGACAACAAACAAATAACTATGTATATACAAAATGTATATAGTGAGTATTGTTTCATACAAGGGGGTAAGATGGAGTCAACATACTAGAAACCAAAAGGTTAAAAAAAACCACTCAAAACTTCAATACCTACTGTAATCACTTCAATAGCCAGTTGGAAGCAGGCAATACTGGCAACACCAGAGAGGAAATGCAAGAGTAAATCAAGCAGAGACTAAAGAGTGCAGAGCTAACTTAAGGAGACCTATGTGCCAAAGTAGTACTTTGTTCCCACAACAGTCACAAAAACCAGTATTTGTACCTAGTACAGACTTTATATCATGTTACTATTTTACAGTTCATGGCTACTTAATAATACATACATGATTATTAATAACATTGTTACTAATAAATGTTTATATAAATAATTCTTGATAAATGGATTTATTATAATATTAGTGATTATAGTTGTATATAATATTTTAATATAATAATAATAATGATATAAAGCAGAGCACGCTTTGCTTTTTGGGGGTTCAACAAAACCCAAAACCCTTTGGGATATAGCACAACTTAGATCTGTTTAATCAAGTTCTTTCCCCTATAGATTGTGATTTGGTCATGATTTGAGCCATGTACTATAGAAGTACTAAAGCCGAAAAGCCTGACTATTAATACACACACACACACACACACACACACACACACACACACACACACATTCTAGCTTATGAAGGCATGCCTATACAACTTTGAGCAAATAATGACTACAGGGTTCTAGCAAGACATGCTTACATAGTGAAATGATTTTGAATAGCATCTTTGTAAAAGTTTTTTACTATCACCAATTTAGTTATGGGGATACAATCACAGCGTGCTTAGGTTTGTCTTCTTAGTGTGTTAAACTACATAGACATATTAGAAATTATTACTCCATGGTACTATACCTTTTAATTTAATTGCCACATCAACATAGGATTGCAAAAATGCCAAGGACACTGCTTCCCCTGCACACACAAAAAAAAATGTTAAGGCAAATAAATATTGAGTATCTCAAATTGTTCTTGATAACAGAAAAATAGATGAATTATTTTATTCCTCAAAATTTAAATAGCATACTTCTATCAAATCTACAAAGACTTGTCAACATAAATTATTTATCAACTATACAGTATTTCTAAAACAAAAATATATTAATAAAGTTATTAAAAATTTCCCCAAATTTCTTAGATAATTTATCCTATTTAATAACTGATTTTAACTTACTAAAAAATAAGGCTTTGGACTATAAATGTATTTGGGGTGTTTTTAAACACTGGACAGGTATTTAAATTATAATTAAACATTTCACAAAAAATAACGTATCTAGAAAATATGGAAGCTCTTCCATTTTATTTCTAGCTACATTCAAAATATTAAATAAAAGTATTTTCAATATTAAAATTTGAAATAAAATTTTTATTTTGAATGACATACTTACAATTAGCATAAAATAATACTATGCTGCTAGAAGTATTCATTATTATGCTGTTAAAGGTTTCCTCAGTTAGTTCTATTATCAGTTCCAAAGGTAAATTCCTCTTCCTGTCTCTGTAAACTGTTTCAACCACTTGATCATCCTGAATACCTATGTTTTAAAAGAATGAAATGGTATGTGAAATGAAAAAAGATCTAAAGTTAATCTTAAAAGCAAATACAAAAGCTTAATAATATAGTAAAAATTTGCGGATTCATATTGATCTAAGGTAAAATATGTGATAATTTAGACATCTCTTCAAGGGTCTAGATCTTCAATTTACATAAGTCTATCCATGACTAAGAAATTGAGATTGGTTTTAATGTAGTATGTGGAATTCAGCAACAGTGCTTTAACTTTTACATTAAACTATTTACAATGCTACTTTATTGTTACTAAAGCTATATTAATCTAATAATACTCAATAATCAAATGGACCTGTAATCTCATCAGGATGGTTGTTCTGTAGAACAATGTTGATTCCAACCTGCCACGCCTGCACATCGTAAGTAACTCCTATCTAAGTCTTTCCATAAATTCATCAGAGGGAAATCATTTGAAGTATTAGAGGTCTTCCTCATTTTCTTCTGACATCAAAAGCATATCAGTGGACATTGGGGGTCTTCTATCAGTCATTCTTTGCTCTCCTAAGAAATGCAGCCTTTTTCTCTTTTTACTTATACATTTCTATGATACCATGATTTACATCACCTTTTCAAGGCCATTCTTATTTACAATGAGTTGCAGCCTACTCAATGTCCACTATGTGACTCTCCATTGCCTTTTGGATAATCCTCAATTTCACTTCTTTGGAAACTACAGTGTTTCATGACTCACAAACATACATCAAAACCAAAAGACAAGTGCTATTAAAAAGATGGGCTCTTCTTTCAAGGAGAAACATGGGATCTAAAAGAACTTTGAAGTTTCCAAAGGCAATCCAAACCATTCTTTTTCTTTTGTTCAGTTCTGGGTACAGCCTCTTTATAATAGATCCATTCCACCAGAGAAATCTATAGTCTGGACAATAGGTAAGCCACTATAAAATGTAAAGCTACACTCCCTAAAGTGTATGAAGCCTGTAGGCCTTATGGCATGATTTAGCTTGTTCAACTTAAGCTTATTCTTTCTCACCCTAACCCAGTTCCATGTTGTCTCATTTATCCTTTTGAGGCAATAAGACAGAACTGGGGAATATAGCTGGCAACCTAGAGCAAGGTTGCTCTGCTGATGTGGTATTCCCCCCAAAATATACTTAAGACCCCTGAAGCTGACAACACATTGTTGCTGAGATTTAATGTAATTTTCCTTCTATGAAGATTTGACCCTTCCTTTTCAGGACATACCTACCAAAATCATGACTGGCAAGGGGACTCATGTCAAACCCAAACCCTGTGTCTGACTTGAACCTTGAAACTTTTATCCTTGAATTGCTTTATATCTTTTATGTAGGTTATTAAGTAAAAACTTTGTTTTCTTTGAATTTATCTATGTCTTGGTTGTTTCATTTCTCTCATGTCCCAAACCTAGGAGGCTTGTTTAGAACCAGCCTAACATAATCAAGTATTCAACAAGATATGTAGAAAATAAATATCAACTGGTTGGAATGACATAGTCAAGGGATGAGAAATCTCTGTCAAAGCTAACCATCTCAGGATGAGTACCTAAAAATTTCTGGAATGAGTTTGCTGGAATCCTTCTATCAGAGGTATAACTCAAGCATTCTCTTAGTTCAAGTTTAATGCTGGGAGGAAATGAGGAACTTGAAAGTCATTGAACATTTAATATAACCAAGAAAGGATACACAACTAGGATATAGCAGCACTTAGTTTCTCTAGGCATGGCCCACCTTATCTCCATGTGGAAACACCTCTGGTCAGCAGAGCAGGGTGAAGGTTACTTGCATGGGCTTCAGAAATCTAGCAAGGCTGAGAGGCCAAATTACATGTGGGTAGGACTTTTTTTTTTTTTTTTTTTTTTACCATAGATGATAAGGAAACTGTATCAGGGAGGCCAGGACCAATCAAGACACAGGAACAGCTTTGTCTTAGACCCATGTAGGCTAGGTGGTGGGTAGGTGTGGGAGAAGGAAGCTATACGAAGGACGCTGCGGCCAATCACATAATCCGTTCAGGTTATGTTGTGGGAGGGAGGAAAGAAGCTGTGTCAAGAAAATGCTGGTCCTTTCACATCTTCATATTCAATACAGAACGAGTGGCCAATTGGATTTATAAGAAGTGATTCAAACAGTTAGTGACAGAATTAAGACTATATATACTTTCTGTACTTGACTTCAGAAGGCAGAACTAGGAGCCAATAAGGAAAGTTTCAAAGAGGCAAGTCTAGAGATGATTTAAGCAAATATTTGCTAATAACAAGAGATGTTCTTGAAGAGGAATGGGCTACACTGGGTGGTATAAGTTCCCCTTCCCTAGAGATCTTCTAGCTCAGACCACTTTGCAGGGATCTTTTAGAGGAGATTCTTGTTCAGGTATAAGAGGAAACATATTACAAGAGTACTAGACTTGGACACAGGACGGTCCTGTGCTCAAATTCCAACCTTGATGCTAATTAGTTATGTGGCTCTGGTGATTATTCTCCTAGAGCCTCATTTTCCTTACTCATGAAATGGAAATAATAACATTTATACTGCCTACACACAGAAGGGTATTACCAATGTTGAGCACAGAGCCTGACATATGGTAAGCAGTTATTAAATAAATACCTGTTGACTGATTGATGGCATAGACTCTAAGGAGGGTAGAACGGTTCAAAATTGTGAAAAATAAAGTGTATAAAACATAGAACAATCATTCCTTATAATGGGGATATAACAAAATCCTTTCCAATAAGATCAGGAATGAAGGAAGGATGTCTATAATCACCACAATTATACAACATTGTGCTAGAAATGCTAGACATAGCAATAAGACAAGAAAAAGAAATTGAAGAAATAAGAATAGGCAATGACGCAACAAAACTATCATTCTTTGGAGACAATATAATGATATACTTACAGAACCCCAGAGAATAAACTAAAAAAAAGTAGTTGAAATAACTAACAACTTTGGCAAAGTTGGAGAATATCAAATAAACCCACAGAAACCAGCAGTGATTCTATGTTACCAAAAAAAAAAACCAACCCAGCAGAAAGAGATAAAGATAGAAATTTCATCTAAAATAACCGCAGAAAATATAAAATACTTGAGTGTCTACCTGCCAAGACAAACCTAGAAACTATATGAATACAATATAAAACTTTTCATACAAATAAAGATAGAGCTAAGTAATTAGAGAACTATTAATTGCTTATGGGTAAGGCAAAATCAATATAATAAAAAGGATAATTTTAATTAAAATTATTTACTTACTCAGTGTCACACCAATCAAACTACCAAAATGTTTTATAAAGCTAGAAAATATGATAAAATTAAATGGAAAGAAAAAAAAGCTTAGAATATAATGGGAATCAACGAAAAAAAGTGAAGGAAGGGGACCTAGCAGTATCAGATGTCAAACTACATTACAAAGCAGTAATAATTAAAAAAAAAAATCTGGTACTGGCTCAAAAAGAGAGTGGTGGATCAGTGGAACAAATTATGTCCACAATCCACAGAAGTAAATGACCAGAGCAATCTACTGCTTGATAAAACCAAAAATCAAAACTTTGGGGGCAAGAACTCATCATTCTGGGAAAACCTGGAAAGAAGTCTGGCAGAAACTAGGCATAGACCAACGTGTCCCACCATATATCAAGATAAAATCAAAATGGGTATGTGATTTAGATATAAAAGGTAATATCATAAGCAAATTAGTGGAGCATAGAAAAAGTAACCAGTCAGATCTATGGATAAAGGAAAAATTAATGACTAAAAGAGAGAGGATGATAGGAGGCAAAATGGATAATTTAATTATGTTAAATTAAAAAGGTTTTGTACAAACAATACCAATGTAACCTGAATTAGAAGAAAAGCAGGAAATGGGGAGGAGGGGAAGGTTTTACATCAAGTTTTGTTTTTCTCAGATATAAGGAACTAAGACAAATAAAAAATAACAGCCATTCTTCAATTGATAAACAGTCATAAGCTATGAACAGGCAGTTTTCAGAAGAAATCAAAGCAATCAATAATCACATGAAAAAATGCTCTAAATCACTACTGATTAGAGAAATTCAAATTAAAACAACTCTAAAGTACAACCTTACACCTATCAGATTGGCTAACATGACAAAAAAGGAAAATGGCAAAACTGTTGAAAAATAGGCACACTAAAGTTGTGAACTAGTCCACCATTCTGGAGAATAACTGGAATTATGCCCAAAGGATTATAAAACCAAGCATACGCTTTGACCTAGCAAGTACTACTAGATCTATCCCACAGGGATCAAAGAAAAATGAAAAGAATGCATATGTACAAAAATATTTATAGTAGCTCTTTTTGTGGTTGCCAAGAATTGGAAACTGGGGGAATGACTATCAAGTAGGAATAGCTGAACAAGTCGTGGTATATGATTATAATGGAATACTATTGCGCTATAAGAAATGATGAGCAGAATGGTTTTAGAAAAACCTGGAAAGACTTGGAAGACCAAAATTCATGTGAATTGATGCTAAGTGAAATGAGCAGAACCAGGAGAACATACACAATAACAGCAACAACTGTTAATAACAATGATCAACTTTGAAACACTTAATTATTCTGATCAATACCATGATCCACAATTCCATAGGATTCATGATGAAAAATGCCATCTACCTCCAGAGAAAGAACTGAGGAAGTCTGAATACAGATTGAAGGATATTTTTTTCACTTTTTTTTGGTTTTGTTTTGTTTTTGCAACATGACATACTGAAATATGTTTTGTATGACTTCACATGTATAATAGGTACCATATTTCTTGCCTTGTCAAGGGGTAGAAGAGGGACTTGAGTAAGGGAGACAATTTTGACCTCAAAATAAAAAAATTAAATGCTAAAAGATACGTAAACATAATTTAAAAAAAATTTTTTAAGAGACCAGCCAATTCCTTCTATGACACAAATATGGTCTTGATAACTAAACCAGGGAGAATCAACATGGAGAAAGAAAACTTTAGACCCTTATGCTGAATA